TCGAGATCTTGAGGATTAGAGACCACCGAAAATAAGTAACTGGAAAAGCATGTCAAGGGAAGTGCATGATTTGAGTTCGAGTGTATTCGATATTCCTGGACGATTTTACGTGTAACAAGCCAGTGCTTATTTAACTTACATATCAGTATTTGCCGCAGGTCCACGGATTGGGGGTTGGCAAAATTTGCCTGGCAGCCAAATCCTTGGAAAACCGCTAAGTAAGCCGTGTGTGGGTAATGCAACCTTTGAAATATTTATTAATTTTGAATATTATTCAACCTCGTATCACGGCACAATATCAGCATTAAGTTAACAATCAAAATAAATTGAATATTCCTAGTTACGCAACTTCTGAGTATTTCTCCTTCCATTTAGCGATGTCCTTGTTGTATTGTTCATGTGCTTTACGGTTTTCCTCGAAGTACGTTTCTTTCTCTTCCTCAGACATTTCCTTCCATTTTTGTCCAAGCATTTTTGCTCGCTCAATCACAGACACACTTTTCAAGCCTTCTGCGGACCTATGCATAAAAAGAATAAAAGGAGATGGCGGGCTTTTGGGGTATCCTAAGAAATGACGTCTTTCTTTATCAAGTTGTCTCATCTTTGGGCCATGTTTTTCATCCAGATAAGCCCTCTCCTCTGTTGATAATCCTTGCCTAAAGCTAATAACGTGTTGTTTGTATTCCTCTTGTATCGCTTGGTGTTTTTGTTTTAATCGCTCTTTCTCTTTGTGTGGAAGATTTCTCCACTTGTTGGACAACGCTGGCATGACTTCTTGTGCACTAATTCCTGGTGTCATCCCGGCTTGGACTTTGGAATAATTCTCTTTCACAAACAAGCCGAACAGTCCTGGTGGCTTCTTTGGTAACTTTTCAAACGTAGCATTGTAAATGTCCTTGTTTTCCGCGGAAACTGCTTTGACAGTGCCCTTCTCGCTTTCTGAAAATCCATTCCCCTTGTCGGACAAAGTCTTGGAGATCTCTCTGTCTATTTTATGCGAAGAATCATCGTTAGCGAACCCGCTTTTTTTACGCGAGCGCAATTGATATGCTTTCGGAACAACTACGTTCGTTTCGGGTGATTTACCGTTCTGTGTGGCAAATCCGTTTCCTGAAATTGTCCGAGCGAGCAGACCTTGTCGAAATGAAAGCGGTTTCCATGCTATGACCGAAACAAAGCGAAAAATATTCATTCTTATAACACTGAGCATCAATCGTCTGATTTTCAGTGCTATTCTCGAGCACCAATCTACTAATATATGCAATGCTTTTTTTGTTCTTGTTTCAATTAGCATATTGTTACGTCAGCTTGCATTGCGTCCATCTTCTAATCCATGACGTAATGTCCAAGTAGCTGTTATTGCTCATAAATTACTTCGAACAAGTCGAAGCTAAAGCCGCGTTATCTAACGAGGAAAAACATTGATTGCCTCCCATTCATTTTGAACTGCATTGATCAACGTAAAGTGCAGTCGAAGATTTGACAAAACCTCCTCGCTGGGTTCATCGGCGTTCCGTTATGTCAGGATATAAATCTGATATTGTACCAGGACGCATGCCGGCCGGCCGTGGCGCTTGGTTAAAAAGATTCCTTTTCAGAAGTCCTCGAAAACCCCGCTAAGTAATCCCTAAAGTCCACCTTCATCGGTGTTTTAACCATGAAAAAAAAGAGAAACAACAACTTAATTTAAAGCCTTGCTGCAACGAATCTTTATTAGTCAATGTTAATTAACGCAAGCACCGGCAAGGTGTTATTTTGAATTTGAATGGGAGCAACTTCGGAATACCCGGCCACACACGCCCTCCTTAAATCTATTATTTTAATTATTACGACTGTGAGACTGCGGTAGTAGCATTTGAAAACACATATTAAGTGGCCGGGTCTTCTGAAGTTTAGCCTTTGAATGTTGTTAAATCTTGAATTCAAGAACATATTCTTTCAGCCGTTGCAGTTAATCCAATAACAGACGAAGGTGAAACACAGAATTTTTATTCACTTCGACACAGGTGAACCTATAATTACGGACACTCTGTACTAAGAACACCTGTTACATTGCGGACAGCCACTTGTTTTGACAGCGTCCTTATTTCAAAACAAATACTAATGATAGCCTGTTCGCAGGCTACTTGTACACGTGCATTGTTTTTACCCACTTAATTAGCGCGCGTAACTTAATATCGGGCCATATGACTATGAGACGAGCTTTTTTTTCACTTTAAATACCAACATGAAAGAAACACGAGAACGCAAAGAAAAAAAGATGCTTTAAGTGCTAAGCGATGGGAAGAGAACCAGGTGGGTATTTACAATTACGTGGCCGAGGTAGGCTTTTGTCAATTGTGCTAGCATAATTTTTGGCATAATTTAGCAAACCGGACGTTTTAGCTTTTATCTAAATTTAACACTGCTAACATAATCTGGTATTTTTTGACCTTCACGATAGGGCGTATAGTAATTTCGTTTTGAATTTATTTCTTTTTACTTGTTCTGTTTCTAATGCTGTTGTTACTGTTGACTTCGGGCTGCTTGTGTGGTCGGTGCGATGTTTCTTTGTCTTAGGCCCCGTGCACCTCAGATGGCGTTCTCGAGTTCCAGTTCAGATAGTTCAGCAGTTGACAATGACCAGAGGAACATATATAGCGAAGGAGGTACCTCAAACACAAAAAAGTATGCCTTTATGGGTGAAATAAAAAAAAATTCCAGAGGAAAGGTTGTGTCTTCGAAACGGCTTTAGTCCTTGTTTTGTCTTTATTTGCCCTGTTCTGTCTACATTTTGCTCAAGAACCAAGTAGCATAATTTTGATGGTAGGAAGCATAATTTGGAGAAACTAGCATAATTTCGGCATAATTTCCTAAAATTCTGAGCACCGCTAGTAGCATAATATGCCATTGTTACTAGCACAATCGACAAAAGCCTAGGTCGAGTGGTTGAACTCAGGTCCACTGAGAACCAACACAAAGGAGTTATTAGTCAGAACGGGACTTGAACCCGCGACCTCGGGATAATATATATAGATTTAGCCAAGTCTAAAAGCGGAGCTCCTGAGCCGAGCTGTTCAAAGCCCGATTGAGCTAACCCAGGATAAGCGAGAATTTAATTTGAGTTTTGCAACTTTGTGGTGAGGTTTTCTGTTTGTATTGGATGGCCTTCTGGCCTTCAAACTACACAAAGCATAAGCAGTGAAAAACATTTTTACGTACGCTGTAAACCGAGGCTGCATTTGCTAGAGCTGGAGTTTGGCTGCCATGTTGCGCGACTTCGTCGCCGCCGTCGTCGTGCGTACGCACCCACTAGCAATATCGTTAGGCATAGTAACCATGAGAAAATCTATTCACAGGTTTCCTTTTCTTCCCCATATGAGTATGGGGCTCCGCTTGACGGCCCAGCCGCCGGAGCTCCGCTGTTTTGATAGTTAAAAGTTCGTCGGCGTAACCTCTTGACCTAGCTGCCTTCCCACAGTATCTCTAAACGGACCGAGAGGCTACGTATACCATGCTTTCAACTGATGATTTTTTTCGTTTCTCTGTCAGGAAGAGCAGCGTATTTCCTGTTACACTTTCAATAATCACCAGGCCAAACATTATTTTTGTAAGACGTGCGGAATTCATTCGCATTACCAGCCTCGTTTCGATCCCAACGGGCGTGGCGTTTTACTGCGCTGTTAGGATGAAGGCACAGTGTAAAAAGTGATCACCAGTCCGGCTCCATATTGCCGGGACTGGAAAAACTGGGAAAAATATGTGGAGGAACATTCAGAAGCAAAAACACTAACTGAAAACGTTGCATAGGCAGAATACGCGTTCTACTACTTTACTCTCCGTTAGGTTAGCCTGCGAACGCAGACGTATTTCCGGCTGTCACTTGGTTCCGCCGAA